GATTTCATAAAATGAAAGTTTCAACTACTATTTCATCCATATTTGAAAGGAAGCATTTTATTATTCCCACTAGAAATCAACGATTTTATTTTGACACATTGATCAGACCTAGTCACATGATAATTGTAAAGGTCACTTGATGTAAATTAAAGTTTTAATGAGGAGTTAATATCTATTTATATAAAATTATGAATGTCATTATTTTATAATTGAAATTTATCATAATTTTTTAAGTAAAAATAATAATTTATCTTTAAAAATGAAATAAAAAGTTAATAAATTTTAATTATTCATAATAAAAAAAATAAACAATCAAGATTTTATTTAAATAATGTGGATAAAAAACTTATAACTCTTTTATAATTATTTAAATTTACTTTCAGTAACATGACCCTTATTGCTGTGTTGCTGAAAGTTGAGCTCAATTTTTGGAGGCATTGGGTACTATATAGATATTAGCAAGATGGTCATTGTTGTTAAAAGTGAATTTCAGCAGTATACCCCTTGTTATTGAAAGTTGAGCTCACTTTTTGAGGGATTGGGTACTATATAGGTATTAGTAACATGCTCCTTGTTGTTAGAAGTTGAACTCAATTTAGCCAAATGAAAAATTTTAGCAACATTGTCCTTGTTGAAATTCATTATCAGCAACATACCCTTATTGTTGAAAGTTGAGTTCACTTTTTGAGGGATTGGGTACTGTATAGGTATCAGTAATATGAGCCTTGTCAATGAAAATCTATATCACCAACAAGCAATTTCATGTTACTGATAGTTAGTTGCTAAAAAAAAAAAAGAAATTTAGTCGTAAACCTCACTATATATGGTGAATTTATTTAGCTGAAAATATCATTTAATTTGGTAAGATTTAAAATAAACACAAAAATAACACTTAAGTTAACAAGATCTAAGATACAAAAATAATTGAAGGAATTTACTTTCCAACACACTCGGTGTAAGGGTCAAACATTGATTTAAACTACATGAATCACGAAATATCTAAAGCTTACAAAACTCATTTGATTAAGTACATAACATTTCAATTAATTCAAATACTCTTCCACTGCAGTTCTAAAAAAATGAATTCAAATATGATCAAATTATATAAATTATAAGAAAGGATATCTATGAGTGTTGAGAGACGTACGTTAAGGCTCACTTCACACCTGTTATGGTCAAGCGGGGGAACTGAAAATTTTATTAAGCGTGCATGTTGCACTTGCCGCTTTAGAGTGGTTGGTAAGGTGCTCACGGTTTCCCGGATCTCCTGGCCCTTTGTCATGTTTCCAACCGCAGCAACGCTGCAGTATTCACCATCTCCCAGTTTCACCAACAAGAGCTTAATTGAGTTAATATTCATTAATTTAAAATTTTTAATTTATAATCAAGTTTAAATGTTTAAATTTTTATAATGTCAAGTAAGTAACTTTTAATGTACCCAAAAAAAGGAAAAAAAAGAAAGAGCATATATGTCTTGTCTACTTAGAACAGGGCAAGTAGGGCTAGACATATTTCAATTTAAAATTAAAAACACCAAATAGTCAAATTGAATCAAATTTTTTTGATCTGATTAAACAATTAAATAGTTAATTCAATTTTAAACCAAACCAAAATTTTGGTTTAGTTATGGTTAAAGTACTAAAATTGTAAAAACTAGAAGGAGCTTCCAACTTGACTAGTAAAAAATTTAGTTTAACCGAAAAAACCTAATTAAATTGAATTGAATTTTTTTGGTACAAAAGTCAAGATTTAATTTGAAATTTAATAAAATTAAAAATTTTGGTTAAAACCGAACTAAACAAAAAATTTTGGTTGACTTAACTAAATTTATAAACTATAACTCAGTTTGGATTCCATTGTTTTTTGGTGGAAAATTCGGATTCCACTGACTCGAATTTTTCTTTTTGATTTCATGACCAAACCAAATTTATGCCAGCAATAAGGCTAGGCCAAGTGCATGCCCCCTAAGACATACTTTAGGCAGAGAATGCTAATTATCTCCTCACCTTGATATATAAACCCTTTACTAAATTTCATGGAAAGTCAACTTCAAACCAACATTGTCATGACAGTTGCTCAATATTTAAAGGTTGACATCACATAATAACATCTTTCTGTTTAGTTACAACTATGCCTGTTTGCGTGGATCCTATTTGCTAACGTGTCAGTATTTAACAGTTAATAAATTAATATTTGATTAGACTGAATTGAAACCCTTAAACCCTAAAATTTTGGATTGTAGGGACATAATCAAAGAAATTAAAATTTCAAGGGCTAAAGTGCAGATCTATGAAAAAGAGCGGACAACTATTTTGGCAAATTATGCTGTGTTGTTCGTTAGAAGGCTGTGCTTACATTAGAAGGCTGGACGGGGCTCCTTCTCCTTCCCAAATCGAGTTGCTTGGGGAAGAGGTAAAATCTTTAAATTTCAATTTGTAATCTTTCTTTTTTGGCAAATTATTCTGTGTTGTTCGTTGAATTCAATTTGGTTAGTTTTGAAGAGAAATAGTTATATTATTATATGAGATAAGGGAAAACTAATTAAAAAGACTTAAATATCCTAACTAAACCATGACATTTAAAAACGTCAAGATCAGGATGTCCTGAAAAATAGGCTAGAATTCTAACATCTGCTACTTTTACAAAGTGAAAAGGAAAAATAGAAAAAAACTCCTCATGACATGAGACTAGTAGAATTGCTATATCTATCATAATATGATAAATGCAGTATCTTTAAACCTCTATGATTTCATCTTCATTGCTTTCATCTCTTCTGAGTGTTGAGGTTTTTTCATGGTGTGTCAATACCTCAAGAGTCAATTGAGAAGCCATGTCTCTTACCAATAGCAGCTAGTTTTTTGTACAATTGAAGCATTGTTGGCCTTTGATCTGGATATGGTTGAACACAATCCAATGCAACCTTCAGAAACTGGAAGATTTCCTGATCAAATCCTTGCCCCATCAGCGATTTATTGACAATGCTATAGAAGTTAGAGCTTGCAGAGAGATGTGTAACCCAATTGTTGAGTGTCTCATTGCTAGTGTTTGAGTTTGTTGTTATGCTTCTAGGATCCTCCCTAGTGATCAGCCCAAGAAGCAAAATTCCAAAGCAATAGACATCCTCTTTAGCAAAGCTTGATTCCCAAAACTCAGTATTAAGTGAGAAGCTTTTGGTTGAATCAATGCCATATGGTTTCATGAGCATTGCCTCTCCAAAGTTTGAAAACTTGGGAACAAAATTCTTATCAAGTAAGATGCACTTGGAGCTAATGTCAAGGTGGAAAACATGAAAATTGCACCCTTGATGGAGCCAAACTAGGCCTGTTGCTGCTCCAATTGCAATTTTAACCTTTAAGGGCCACTCCATGAATCTTGCCTCACCTTCTTCAAGATGTAGCCAATCATAAAGACTGCCTTTTGACATGTATTTGTAGACTAGAAGCTTTTCCTTTGAGTGTATGCAGAATCCGAGGAGGGGTATGACCGTATGAGGTTCTCATGCCTCAATCTACCTAGTGTCTTCAATTTTGTTATGAAATGCTCATCAAATAGGCGAGTGTCATGTAATCTCTTCACAGTGAGGAACCGTCCACTAGGCAACACTACCTTGTAGGTTGTCCCCATCTATCCAATTCCAATGATATTTTCTTTGTTAAAATTGTTTGTCAGCTTCACTGATTTCTGTATAACTCAGTCTTGAAATCAGTTTCACCAAGATAGAAGTTTGTGATTAAGATCCAATGTTCCAATGTTAATACCAAATCATGCACTAAAATTGAAACTGAAAGTGAATTATGTGCCAAGAGTTAAAAGAATGTACCTCTTTGCTTTCTTCATGTAGAAGTTCCACAGATGGCGTTTCCGTCATCTGATGAGCTTGCTTTCTTTTGTTTTCCTTTGCAGTATCAGATTCAATGTGATTTTCCATGGGACTTCACTCTTCTTCTTCCCTTGTGTCCATGGCACACAGTAGGAGAAAAATTAGTAATAACTGAAAGCGCAAAAATTACATATCCAACAACAAAACCACTTAATTTTGAATAAATCCAAATCACTCCTACAGGTCTTTAAGGAGCTTCTACAAAGTCCTTGGCATAATTATCACTCGAAAAAGTAGCACTTGCAAAATTAGGCACCGGACCATATAATAGATTATTGGCAACATTAAAGACTTTGATCCGAGAAAGCTGGCCAATTTCTGGTGGAATTTGACCTGTTAGTTGATTGTGGTCAAGTTTAAGAATATTCAAAAAATTACAGTTGCCTAAGCTCTTTGGGATTTCACCTGAGAATTTGTTACAAGATAGATCAAGTGTAGTTACGTAAGGGAGCATATGTGATATTTCAGTTGGAATTGGTCCAGTAAGCTCATTGTTTGAAAAGTCCAACCCAGTTAAGCTGAAACATTCACTTATTCCCCGTGGAAACTGGCCCCTCAGACCCATGTCGGATAGTTTAATGTTCAACACCTTGTTTTCATCCCGCTGCCAGCAATCACCCCCTATAAACCTGCAGATGGAGCCCTCTGTGTTGTTGCTGAAGTCCCACTTAGCATTGACGTAACCATATGGGTCTTCCAGTGAGTCTTTTATAGATTTCAAGCAATTGATATCAGAGACACGGCCGATACATACTGTGCTCAACAATGACCAAATCAAAGCTTGGAGTAATAGCAGGATAGAAGGCATTTGCAAGAATTAATGTACGGTAGACAAAGAAATAGAGATGGAACTTAGGGGCATAGCCTATGCCAATCCGTTGGAGGGGTGTCGGCACCCGATTAGTTAACTTCTGCAAGGTAGGGGAGAAGGAAACGATCAAAGATGACAAGGAAGATGCAAGTGGAGATTAACACTACAACAGCTACTGTCCCAGCTGGGATTTTGAAACTAGAACCAAGTTGACGATCCATGGCTAGAGCTTGGAGAACTATCATGTTGCCCTGGATTGCTATTGAGGTAGTTAAAAAAATATTGTGCTTGACCAAAGTGGGAAAATTTTAAACTAGAGCTTTAAGGTTTTCCACCTCTTGAACCTTACATAGCCTTCATGGCTTTGCAATGGTTCCATTTGATTGAATGTCCCCTTTAGTTTTTAGGCTTGCTCGGTTCAAAAATCTGCAGAAGGGATAAAAATAAAAAATAAAAAATAAAAAACAAAACCAATCCTCCACCTGTGAGTTTTGATTGAACGAAGAAAAAACCATTGTTGCCAATACAGAATAAACTCATACCTTAAGCTCTGAGAAGGAGTTGCAGCCAAAATCATGTTTGTTCCATCTATTCCGTGGTAATAATCCTCAGTTTTGGATGATAGTGGAATATTCCTCTTCCTTATAGCAGAAACAAGAACGCGAGCTAAACCTGTGTATGCGCTTCCTTGAGGCTTGTCATGTCAATAAAATCGAGTACCAAGCAAGAAAATGGCTAAACCAACAAAACTAGCAGCAGAACATAGACCAAACCCCAATCCCCAGCCGATACTATTCTCAACATAGACAATGCCTATAGCACTTACTACTCATGCTCCATAAAGGATAAAGAAGAACCAGTTGAAAAAAACACCTTGATACTGAGGTGTATCAAATTGATTTGCCTCCATTGTTGCTAGAGTAAATCTCATTGCTCCAAGGCCTATAGAAGCTAAAGCTATAGCTGCATATAGAACTGAGAATTGAACCCTTGACGGAGCTTGGCATAAGCTTGATCCCAGCCTCACATGGTGAAGGCCTCAAAGGAGCTAATTGATGCTGTCAAGGTCAGGAGAACCACTCTCTGCAAAGGAAAAATGTTGATTAATTTCAGAAGAGGAAAGAATTAATCCATTCATGAGTGTCAACTTCCTGCGGTAAGACTCTTACCAGCAAAGAGAAACAGGAAGAAATTGCAACCACAGCGAATGATCCTAAGATAGAGTCAGCAAGAATTGCTGAAATGATGGAAGCAGATTGATGCCACCAGTGACAGTATTTGTAATCTGAGTAGCATCAATACTCTTCACATTGAACTCCTCAATCAGATATACAATCAAGTTTGTCAGCCATCCCCAACCTGCCAGCCTCAATCCCGTCGGGGTTGCTTTCATCACAACAAAAAATACAATTTATTAGTAAAACAAAGTCCTGCATGCCGCTGTTCAACACCAATTCCATGAGATAGAGGTAGAAAGAGACCTGCAATAAAGGGAAAGTTGATCCAGCCACCACGTTTGCCCCTGGAACGTGACACCCCGGCTTCTCGGTCCAAAGATGGTTGCAACTCCATGCTTGGCATTTTTGAGTTCTGGTTAAAGTTTTCTTTTTAACAATACTCATTATATAACACAGAAGTACTTATTCTAATATGCCCTGGAGATATAAAATACAGTATTGAATAAAAATTTTTAGGCAGTTATTGGCAATCACAGCCAACAATACAAAAGGCTTCCATTCTTAACTTCATGAATATGAATTTAAACTCAGAAGGCAAAAGAAACAGAACTTTTCCTAATGTGATATGAATATGATAATGCCAAATTGCCAATGCTTGTGGACCTCAGGGAGGTGCAACCACCATCAGTAGTAGGTGTGTTGAATACGAAATTTTTAGTTGGCATAATATTTGCATATAATATCCTTTTGTTCAAACACAATTGGTAGAATACAATCTGAAACATGTATCAAATTAACAGTAAGATAAGAAGACTATAATACCATTTCTACATCTCATTTTCAGCGCAACCTACTATAAAATAAACTATAATTTACATGGTAGGGCTGTTGAGATGTCAATAGGAAGTTTGAAAATCTTGTGTAGAAAGACCAAGATCTTATCTAAAATAATAATAATCTCAAAAATATAAGCACAACTTGTCTTAAACAAAGCAGAACAAACATATGACAAAGTTGTTTACTGTTTTTGTTTTGGACCAATGCAGAAAATGTTAGTTGGGGTTGAATTGAAATGAGTAAGAAGGCGGGAATGGGAAGAGAAAGACAGTTATTTAATGTGAAGAATAGCTTTGAAAGTGGTCCCATCCCATGAAAGTCTCAGTTTACCTCTGCAAAATGCAAATAAACGCCATCACAGGATTAAGATACTCGGATTGAAGCGAGAATGAGTTTCCATGGCCGACTCAATTTTGTCCAGAAACAATGGTGGAATAGAGAACGGTTGAAGGAAAGAGGTGATCAGGCCATAGCCAGCCGGAAGCAAACTTATTGCATTTTGGGCCATGAGAAAAGTGAAAATTGTATTTAAAATGCTAGAAGTGCTCGTGAAATTATGAAACTTGTTGCATCATATTTATTGACTCAGCAAGAAGTGTGGATTGATATTCATGTCCACTTGTCTAAGGTTGCTGTAATCAATAGATGTATAAAATTATAATTTTGGAGGCAAAAGAGAAAAGAAATCATTGTAAAATATGTGATTATAAGATTTGATTAAAGTAAAACTAAAATACAAAGCTTCCCTGCTAATGATGGCTTGATCCAATAACAAAAGGGTGCTGATCTACTTTGAGAGGTTTTGCAATCATGCACGAACCAGGCTGAATGGAGATGGTTTAATAACTATTCTTTGATTCATGAATCATAATGCATTTTGATGGGCTGAATTTATATAGATATTAATGTGAAATTTTTATCTTGATATTATTGATATTTGGATGAATTTTATAAAATTTTACTTGATTTTATATGATTTCCATTCTTTATGTATGAAATGACTTAATTGGAAGAAATCATAATTCTTAAGAGTAAAAGTGCAGAGAACAAAAAGCTAAGGATTAAGTTGTGCAGAGTTCAGAAGTTAGGGACCAAAACTTTCATTTTACCATTAACAAAAATTGCTTGGAAGGCCAAAAATCCAACACGGTGATTTGATTCTGCGCTTAATACAAGGCGTCGGCACCTAGTTGAAGTTGTTGACCCCTTACGCGATTTTCTCTTTATGGCCCAAGTTGATGCATAAATGTGGAGAAATTCCCATCTCACTAAGAAATGATTTATTTGATTAGTTGAGTATTTTAGCTTATAAATTATTGTTCTTTGATTTTGGCCAAGTCATTGAACAAGTTTGGGGGATGAGATTATGAAAAATCACATATTTGAAGTCTCCAATTGAAAAGAACTCAACTTCAAAACTCAAATTTTCAAGTCCAAAACTTAGGAAGTTTCTAGTCCAAAACTTAGGAAGTTTCTGTTTTCTTTTACTTTTATTTTACATTAAGGACAATATTTGATTTACATTTGGGGGAGAGAAAAACTTTTAGGCATCCATTCTTATATTAGTTTGCATTCATATTTGCATGACATATTTTTATTTTTTTTAGAAATTGGGTTTTTTCTTTTAGGAGTTGGTTTAATTAATGTCAAAGAATTGAATATTCTTGAGTTGGAAATTCAAAAACTTTTAAAATCTTTGAATCTTAAAGGAGATACAAAATTTGAAAAATAGCATCATTGTGATAAAGTTTAAGTTCATGAGTACTCTATTCTACTTGAGCACAAGTTTTGTAGTGAGAAGTTTAGAGAGAAGGTTTGGTAGCACCTAAAAAGCAAATAAAAGAAAGAAAAAGAAGAAGAAGAAGAAGAAGAAGAAAAAGAAACCAACATACAAAAGAGTTTGTTAATTCTACTCTAATGTTTCTAATTGCTTAGTAACTTAGATTTAAGCATGAAATCCATGTCAACTTTCACATCAAATGATAACTTGAAATATGAGTATGCAAAACACTTTAAGTTTATGACTTATTTGAGTAATCGAATGTTTTCATCACAAATGTTAATATTAATGTCAAAAGACAAGTGATAGCTTTGGGAAGAATGTATTGTATGGCTAAAAAAAAAAAGAAAAAAAGGAAAAAAAAGAGAGGTCAAATGTTTGGTGGCCTTGTTACTTAAGTAAGTATGTTCTTAGGGGTGTCCCTTCACCTTATGCCCTAAAGCCAACTAGTTCGGGAGTCATTGGCAGAAACCTTGTTAAATGGGTAACTTAGAAAGTCTAAGGAAACTCGACACAAATAATAATAATAATAATAATAAGTGCTAAGGTGTGAAGGTTTAAATTAGAAACTTCTTATCATGAATTTTCACAAATACTAAGTGCTCATAAGCTAAATCTTTTGATAAGTGGTGTGAAGAATAGGATGGAGTATTTGACTTTAATTGAATGTATGAAAACTCTTGAATATTTGAGATTTTATATATAACTAAACTTTCATTCCTAAATTTTCTTTGCATGCATATCATGTAGTTGTATTCTTACATTGGGATTTTATGGGTCGATCCACTGAAAACCCTCACGAGACACAACTCGTCCACTAGGGTGACCTAAGGGTTTAAAGACTTGTTGCACATACTAAGTGCAATCGTGATTTTTACGAAAATGAGTTAGATTTTATTTTATTTTTATGTTTTGTTTACTCAAAGACGAGTAAAACTTAAATTTGAGAGAATTTGATGAGCTGAATTTATATAGATATTAATGTAAAATTTCTACATTGATATTATTGATATTTGGATGAGTTTTATAAGATTTTATCTAATTTTACATAATTTTTATTCTTAACATAGAAAAAAACTTAATTGAAAGAAATTATAATCTTTAAGAGCAAAATTGTAGAGATCAGAAAGCTAAGAATTAAGTATGCAGAGTTTAGAAGTTAGGAACCAAAACTGTTATTTTACCATTAACAGAAATTGCTTCGAAGCCCAAAAAACCCAACATGGTGATTTGATTTTGCGCTTAACAGAAGGTATCGGCACCTAGTTGAAGGTGTTGACCCCTTACATGATTTTCATAAAATTCGTGTCTAAATTATTATTTTGTTGTGGTTTTACTTCTATTCCAATTAGGTTTCCAAAATCCTATAAATACTTATCTAAATTCAGAATTGGAGAGCTTTGGAGTCTGATAACAACTCTCTTTTGGGTACTGTTAGAGATCAAGATAAAAATTCCATCAATAATATAAGATCAAGGGTTTCATCAAATTGGATTTTGTTTTTCCTTAGATTTTTTTTATTTATTGTTTGATATTCAAATATTCAAAACTATCATTTCAGATTTTATTATTTTTATTATGAACTAATTTATTTTATTAAAGGTACGATATTGTCTAATAAATTTATTATAAATTTTATAATTTTGTGAACCTTTAATCAAAGTTATTGGCATGATAAGTTTATGTTATTAATCTTAATGCATTAAAAGTGTGATCACCTTTCAATTGATTTAGTGATTTATATATTAATTTGAGAAAGAATTGTGTAAATTAGATCAATAGTAATATAAACCGTGTGTTAAATTATAAGACCGAAAGGTTATATGTGGTAGTGGGGGAAGAAGAGAGTTATGAGCTCCCTCTTCTTAAATTGGAGGTTTTCATAAAATTTAATACTCATGTATTTGTTTAAAATTACATAAAAATATGATTAATTTGATAAGTAGGGGAAGGATTAACTTGACTTAAGAAACAAAATTAATTTAGGAAAATCCGTCATTACATGCAATAACACTCAACACATTGATTTTGGAAACATATTAATCTAAAATTTATGTTGATCGATTATAGTGAAATCGATGTCTTAATACCTCATATCTTGATTAGTTTTATTCTAATTGTTATTTTTT